GTCAAGATCCAAGCAACAGCACCTGCATCTTCAGTTGCCGTCAAGGTCATGGCTTTAGGGATGTTGCAAGAATCACACACCAACAATTTGGTCGGAACAAAATTGCCTTGAGCCGCGGCCATTTTGCCCGAAGCAGTGTGAGTAGAGGATCAAAAAGCATAAATGGATCAGAAAGCCACTCTTCTGGGATCAAAACCAAAACTGGATCAACACAAACAAACTAAAGTCATGGAAGGTAGGGTGGAATCGTGTTTCACGGCAAGCTATGCGGATCTTCTACTCGTAAAGGTCTGTCTTGCCGCCTGCTTTTCCGGAATGGCTATTTCTGAAGCTGTCTTGCGGCAACCCAGTGGAAAACTCCAATTGGTTGAGTCCTGGGTTGCAGCAGGCTGCTGGGGAACTGCATTTCTGTAAAGCTGTTGGCGCCAAGCCTTCGAAGTTGTTGCGGTGGGTTGCAGCAAGCTGTGGCGCACTCAGGTGGAATGAAATCCATTGTTTGGCTTGGCTTGGCTTGTCTCAGCTCAAGCGCAGGTGGAAGGGGGTGGGGGCTTGCCCCCTCACCCCATGCACACCTACCAATGAGGGATGTGCGCAGATTACAAAGCAACGAACGACACTTGAATACACAGTCTTCCTGCTCTCAGCATCGTCTTGCAAAAAACTTGGGTGTCAGCACATGTGCATTTTTGTTTGAGGGACGAGTTGTAAGGAAGAGCGCGATCCTCGAGAGGGGTCACTCGGAATGAGCATTTGTGCGTTTTACAGTGGTGTTGAGGACATTGTGAAGCAGGTGTTTGAGGGAAAACTTTGCGTGGATGACGATCTCACACTTACTTGTTTGGACGGGTAGTGGAGTACGAGTGCCTAAAGCCATCATCATCATCATCATCATCATCATCACCATCCTCATCATCATCATCCTCATCATCCTCATCATCATGTATCATCATCATTGAATCATCATGTATCATCATTGGTATTGGACAACATTATCACGAAAATACTGCAAACACCGAGTAAACAGGATGTGCTCTTTAAAAAGTATGCCTTCAGCCCCACCCCCCACCCCCACCCCCCCACCCACAAACTACATGCCGACAGCCTGCTCTTTCATTTGCCATCCGGAGAACAAAGTAAGGCCACTATACCGCCAGGCCACGTATACAAAGACAGAGATACAGACATGCATAGACATGCACGTTAGAAGTGTCTACATGCACATCAATGTTTTATGGCCACATGTATCCCCCAAATCGTCGAAGACTGCCACGAGTTGCATCAATCCGGCGTCGCATTGGGGAACTGCGACATAATCCCACAAGACACATAGGCCTTGTGTGCTGGTTTATACCCCCAAACCCACCACCCCCACTTGAGTCGAGCCCAGCCAATCCAAACCATACATTTTTTAATTGCCACCTCTTGCGCTCTGCATCGTCGCTGCTCTGCACACTATACGCCAAAAAGTGTGCTTGGTTTTGGAGCACAACTCGTGCATAGCGTAAGATGGAGCAATCTTCAAAACGGTTGCGCTTGGTTTCGCTTGATTCGGCCTAAGCGGGTGCGGTGGGGCGGCGGGTGGAGTGCAAGGGGCCCCCAAAACACACCTCCCAATGAAGGACGTGCACAAATTACAGAACAACACACAGCCTGGCATCGCATACAGGAATAGTGCAGCCCAACTCTTGGAATCAAAGCCCCAAATTCAGAGTTGTCGGGGTTCAGGATCTCGAGATTTGGGGAGGACATCGTTCCCCGCTCTCTGCCTATTCGCGTCTTCTTGTAAGAAAAGCGCAAACGAGCAAGTTTGGCCTGCGATTCTATCTGCGTCATACCCAAAGCCAGCAAGAAAACAAGCTCGGTATGCTACAACATCCCTAAGCCAATGGCAGCTTCCGAACACAGCTTGAAACCCCTCCCAAGAGACATGAAGAGGGAACACGACACGCTGAGTGGTGTTTCAGGGACTGTAGCAGCTAGCAGAACGCACCAAGTTGCAACTCTGTAACCAATATTGCTATCACGACGATTATCATGTCCTGATGTCTAGTCTTCTTCCAGACAAGGCCTTCCCAATCGTGGCATTCACCGGGCCCCATCGGAGCTCCCCCGTGCGCATGTCTAGCGCTGACCTGAAGCTCCGGGCGGTTGGACGAGGCTTCCGCAACAGTTCGGCGTTGGGAGGGAGTCTTTCACCAAACATATATATATATATATATATGCGCCTTAACTAGAACTATCATAAGTCATAAGGAAACCCCAAAATAGTACAGTATAGGTANNTAATTATTTAGGTCCCTATATTATCCTACATTTTGGGGCCTCTTGGTCCAAAACCTCTCACATACCCCCGCGTGGATCTTCGGGGTTCCAGGCTCGGGCATGTATGGGGGCTTCAGATTCCAGCCAGCGGATCTCTACAGTAATTATTAGGGTTTAGGGTTTTGGGTT